CGAGGGGCGGGAGGCCGGGCGTGGGGCACCGACTCCGGGGAACGGAAGGCCGGTTCGAGGGGCGGGAGGCCGGGCGTGGGGCACCGACTCCGGGGAACAGGAGGCCGGCTCAAAGGGCGGGAGGCCGGGCCGAGAACGTGGAGCCCTGGCTCGGGACACCGACCGCGAGGGACGGGAGGCCGGGCGGGAGGCACCGATGGAGGGGTGGGAGACCGGGCCCGGGGCACCGACCGCGAGGGGCGAGAGACCGGGCCCGGGGCACCGACTCCGGGGAACAGGAGGCCGGCTTAAGGGGCGGGAGGCCGGGCCGAGAACGTGGAGGCCGGGCCCGGGGCACCGACCGCGAGGGGCGAGAGACCGGGCCCGGGGCACCGACTCCGGGGAACAGGAGGCCGGCTTAAGGGGCGGGAGGCCGGGCCGAGAACGTGGAGGCCGGGCCCGGGGCACCGACCGCGAGGGGCGAGAGACCGGGCCCGGGGCACCGACTCCGGGGAACAGGAGGCCGGCTTAAGGGGCGGGAGGCCGGGCCGAGAACGTGGAGGCCGGGCCCGGGGCACCGACCGCGAGGGGCGAGAGACCGGGCCCGGGGCACCGACTCCGGGGAACAGGAGGCCGGCTTAAGGGGCGGGAGGCCGGGCCGAGAACGTGGAGGCCGGGCCCGGGGCACCGACCGCGAGGGGCGAGAGACCGGGCCCGGGGCACCGACTCCGGGGAACAGGAGGCCGGCTTAAGGGGCGGGAGGCCGGGCCGAGAACGTGGAGGCCGGGCCCGGGGCACCGACCGCGAGGGACGGGAGGCCGGGCGGGAGACACCGATGGAGGGGCGGGAGGCCGGGCCGGAAACGGGGGTATCAGGGTGGGAAACCTGGCGGCCGGGCAGGGGCCTCCGAGGCGGGATCGCAGAAAGCTGGACCGGGAAGCGGGAGACAGCCGGATGCTGGAGAAGTGACGCGATGGGACCCGCAGGCTGAGTCCTGGACTGGGAAGGGAGGAGGGGCTCCGGGAAACTGTGCCCCGAGGCTGGAGGCGGGCATGGCGCTGCGGGAGTGCCGCTGGCCCTCGGGGCTGATCCTTCCAGTACTGGGTGAGGGTCTGGTCTTTTCTGTATGTGGGGCCTAGATTTTCTTGGGTTGGCTGTGCGATGTAGCTCTTCCAGAGAGCTAATTCCAAGCACTAAACTCCGATTCCTTTTTAGACCAGAAGTCTTAAGTGAATTCTTCCAGCTCATACTTGTGGTTATGTATCTATGGCCAAAGTCCCTTGGCAGCTGCTTTGAAATGCCCTCAGGCATTGTTGAATTAGAGTTCCTTTCTCACACTTGTCACTTTTATTTTGGTGGGTCTGCTCTCAAACCTTACTTGAGCAGCTGCCTCTTTCCCCCTTCTCACTAAGTGGCACCCAAGCAGGAAACCAGGAACCACAAACCGCCCACCTTACTCCTCCCCCAATTAGTCACCAAACTTTGTCGACCTCCTAAATGTCTGCCAGATCTGTCCGTGTCTCTCCATCTCTGATTTCAGCCACCCTAGGCTCTCACCTGACCACAGCAGCCTCCTCACTGGAGACCCTCCTACCCTACCTGTCTCCAGTTCATTCTTTACAGCACAGGTAGAGGGATCTGTACAAAAAAAAAGCTGTTCTTTTGCCTTTAGGGTAAACCCAGTCCCAAGCACAAGTTGGGTCCTGAGTACCCTCCCCTGCCTTGTTTTGCCATAATACCATTTCTGCACAGCTGACATTACAGTTCCTATTACTGTTCCTTTTGCATCTGGCATTTCTGAGAGGAGTTGCTTGTTTACTGTCTTTGCTGCTAGATGGATCATAAGCAAACTCCTTGAAGGACTGACTTTATCATGGTGTTCCTTATTCTCTTTCCACCAGTCCAGGGCCTGGCACAAGTGAATGCCCATCCATTTGTGTTTTTATTACAGTATTATGCTTTTTAATAAGTATGTTCTATCAAGAAGAAGTAAATCTGTTTGCTTTCTTATAATCAGCATCCTGAATTGATGCAAAGAATAACACATATCAGCACAGTAAGAAACAAGTAGCAGCTAGTCCCACTGCTGTGCCAGAATATTGTTTTTAAATCCCCATTGTTTATTTTCCCTATTAATGTTTTGCCAAATGAAAATGTCTGAAAATCTAAACTCCTGTTATCATTTAGGGCAGTAAATCTTTCCCTGAGGAGATAATTTTTCATCCTCTAAGATGAGATCACCATCCCCAGAATAATTTGTATTTCAGCCAGGCATTAGCTAATGGAGGTGAGGTAATCCACACTCTTGGTAAAGCTCTGCTCCCAAGAGTGGATATGGTGCTTTTATGTAGGAAAAGCAGATGATAAGTCGACAACAAATGTGCTCATGTCGGTTGCTAGAAGGATTGTATTTACCATCATATAAATGTTTAGTAGTATATCAAGATAAACTGGTAACTGTGGTGATATGTATTAATCAGATACTAATAATGAAGGAAACTAAATACAGTATAGTATTTGTTCCTGAGAAATCCTTATCAAATAGTAAGATGCTATTTTAAATCCTATTCTGAAAGAATTCATGTTTTTTTCTTTTTGGCCACCAACTACCTTAGTAAAACAAAATCATCTATCTCATGCCTTTTCAGAAATGATTGAATTATAATTATTTGTACTAAGACTGATCTATCTGAAATTGTTTTTAACTTTTAATAATTGGTTAGGAATGGAAAGGAAACGACCATTTAAAAGTCACCTAATATTTAGAAGAAATCTTACATTGCTCTGAGCCAAGAAGCAAAACTCTGGAAAGCTGATCACTGTTTAAAACTTCTATTACCAGTTAGAAGGAGAAAATCGTTTTTTCCCACAGCTTTATTGCTAGCAAGAGACAAAAGTCAGCATTCAAAGTCAGTATTTCAGTCTAAGAGTAGAGCACTGTTTGCAGTGTTTGAAAAGAGATCTTTATGGCCTCGATTGTTGGTGGGAACTGATCTGCATTTGGGGGTTCCTGAGCACATACTAAGAACCTGGTTTTTGGCAAATTCTCTCAAAGGACCAATTTGAGGCAAACCGTGGGGCCAGAAAGGACACTGTCAAGAGCGCCAGGTTCAACTCCAGAAATTATCTTTGTTGAGTCTTATTTCCAGTGTTGGTTTTTTGTTTGTTTGTTTGTTTTGTTTGTTTGGGTTTTTTTGAGGCTGGCTGGTGTGGGGATCCAAACCCTTGACCTTGGTGTTACGAGGCTGTGCTCTAACCAACTGGGCTAACCAGCCACTTCCCCAATGTTCTTTTTGATAGATCTTGTTTTTTAGAGTAGTTTTAAGTTCAAAGCAAAATTGAGAAGAAAGTACAGAAACATCCCATATTCTCATAAACAAACTGAAGGTATTTTTCGTATATTCTGATTTGTCAACAATACAGAAGACCTCTGTGACCAAAAGTGTGGGATTTCTCCCCATCAGCAAGCAAGCAACCAATCTGCAATGAACACCAGTTGGGCGTCCTCTAGTTCAAATCTATTCTAACACTGTCTGCCTGGAGGTAGCATCATATGCCACAGGTCGAGGTCTCAGCCCCCAAGGCTGTCTCCTCTTTAGATGACAGCACAGAGTCCAGGTTCCTGGAACTTCTAACCAACCTGCTGTAAATCAGTGTCCCCACAACCCCTTCCTCGTGTTCAGTTGATTTGCTAGGGTGGCTCACAGAACTCAGGAGCTTACATTTACCCATTTTTTATAAAAAGTACTACAAAGGATACAAATGAATATAGATACATAGGGCAAGGTATTGGGGGAAGAGGTGTCACCTGCCAGGAACTTCTGTGAGTTCAGCTATCCAGAAGTTGTTTGAACCCAGTCCCTTTTGGTTTTTATGGAGGCTTTATTACATAGTCACTATTGATTAAATCATTGGCTATTGGTGATCAACTTAACCTTCAACCCTTTCCCTTCTGCAGACATTGGTTGAGGGGGCTGAAAGTTCCAACCCTCTAATCACAAAGTTGGTTCCCCTGGCAACCAGTCCCCAACCTGAAGCTGCCTAGGGACTGTCAGCCCTCAGTCAACTCATGAGCATACATACAGAAAAACACCACTTTGGAGATTTCTACAGATTTTAGGAGTTCTATGCCAGGAAAGGGGCTGAGACAAAACCAAATATATATTTCACAATATCATATCCCCCCTGTCCCCGCATATGAATATCCTCCTCCATTGTCAACATCCTGCACCAGAGTGGTGCATTTCTTACAGCTGATGAATCTACGCTGACACGTCATTATCACCCAAAGTTGGAAGTTCACGTTAGAGTTCTCTCTTGGTGTTGTACATTTTATGGGTTTGGACAAATTTATGATGACATCTGCCTACTATTATAGTATCACTCAGAGTAGTTTCACTGCTTTAAAAAATCCTCTGCTCTCTCCTTCACTCTTAACCCCTGGCAGCCACTAGTCTTTTGACTGCCTTCATGGTTTTGCCTTTTACAGAACGTCATATAGTCTTAGCAATATGCTTTTAAGTTTCTTCCATATCTTCATGGCTTCATAGGTCATTTCTTTTTCTTTTTTGGGAGTTTTGGGGGTTTTTTACAGAACGTCATATAGTCTTAGCAATATGCTTTTAAGTTTCTCCCATATCTTCATGGCTTCATAGGTCATTTCTTTTTCTTTTTTGGGAGTTTTGGGGTTTTTT